TCCACTTTTATAGTCGCATAAGTATATAGCGCGAGCAATATCAACCCCTCAACTCGACCCTTGAAGACGTCTTGCCGTTCACTCTCTCTCTCTCTCTTTCTCTCTTACTCTTTGGCTACCTTATATACGTGAAACGACTAACCCCCCTGTCGAGAAATCGAGAAATAAAGAAAGAGAGAGAGGGACCCACCTGAATAGACTAAAAGGGGATCCAGCTTTTTTCGGGCCCCGTACCTATATACTTTTTGCAGCAGCACAGTTTCGCTGGTATATACGACATAGGCCGAACTCGCGCGCGCGCGCGCCTCTATGAGTGTGCATATGTGCATGTGTATATATATATATATATATATGTGCACGGCGAACGCACCTCTACTCTCTATGCTGTTGTGCACGCTTATACGTAAAACCCTTAGTGTATACGTTTCATCAGTCGGCGTTGAGCTAGCGCGCTAGCCACAGCTCCGATACGTGTACCGTTGCTCCGGCAATATTTTTGCAACCTTACTGCGAAATCTACCTCGACTTTAACATGCATATAATATAACGAGCATATAAAATAGTTCAAGATTGTCCAAGTGTCATCGCAATGAATACGTTTTGCAAATTACAGAAATGTAATCAACCTTTTGTGATTGGTAGATAACAAATAATTGTTTAAAAAATGTTAATTTAATACAACTCGAGAGTGAATGCACTACAGTACTACAGGAAAGAAATAATCTTGAGTAGCCGTTAAACCTATCTCCAAATCGGAATGTACACACATTTGGTTCGAGTGGAATTTTTCGCATAATATAAAAGAAGTTTACTTCCAACATCGCGTTCAGTCAAGGACCTAAAGACAAAGGCAAAAGCGAATGTACCGCTGCGCAAGATTACCCGAGTATGTAAAGTCTCGAATAAATGGTTTGCTCACACAACACAAGTACGAATGCAACGATCAATATTCATCAAGTTTTAAAGATCATCGATCGATGAGAGAAAGCGGCGCTTCGAGTACAGGCCGCCGTTTCCACGAGTGTATTGATCGGCTGGCCACTAGTTACTGCGTTTACCTCTATGCAGGTTATAATAGAAATGACTCAATTCATGTAGATAAGAAAGTGTTGTTTTGAAAAGAAAATCGCTGATAAAAAATGTCAAAATAATGAGCTAGTTTTGACCATTCAACCGCAGATACCTGATACCGATAAAGCGGCTTATCATCTCGGAGTCGAAGAATTTAAAAGGATTCAGTGCGTTGCTGCTGACTCTCGCAGCTCGTAACGAGTTGCAAAAGATAATCAGACAGAAATATTGTTAGCCGCATGGGAGCTGTACAGGCCGTTGTACCGGTGGAATTTTCTCTCGCTCGCGCAGCCGATCGCACAGCTGAGGCTTCTCAGTTTACGCTTGGCGCTCGAAACGAGAGGAGCGTATGTTTTTTTAAATACTCTTCCCGCATCGACGTACGTGTGTTCATTTAAGTGTTGTTCAGTGAAAGAGAGAGAGAATGCCATTTGTTCAGTGACAGTGAGAGCCGCCAACGAAGCTCGCTTTATTATTGTTAAGCATGTGTATACTTGTGGTGTTTAAAAAATCATACAGTTACTATTTTTGGAGCAGGTTTATCAGTGACAAGTTTTATTATCGCTCTTGAAAGTGTGACATCCAAATATGAAGCATAAACTCTTGTGAACGCAATTGTAGATTATTATCAAGCAAATCTGCAGTGACAGCTCGTTTAGAGAATAAAAGTAGATGGCGTTGATTTTTCAATCAGTTATCTTACTTGTTTCTGATAAGAAAAATTCAATTGGAGGTGCGTATAATATACATGTTTTATCGACGCCTGCGTTGTATTATTCGAAGCGAACACCGATAAAGTTTTGTTGAAATATTTGGGAATGTCTCGTAACACGATGCTGTGAGAAAAACTTAACCAAACATGTTTCGTGCGTTTTGTTTCTTTTTGTATAGTCGAGAGTAAGCCTGCAACGTTGTAGAAAAACGCTAATCAATCGTTTACCTTCCGACACATTATCATCGATTGTCATTTAAAAAAAAAAAAATTGTAACAATAATAATAATAAACTTTGAAAAATTACATTGAAAAAGAATTAAGAAGTTTACTTTTTTGATGCGTAATTGAGTGTAACGATCGTTATTAAAAGTTTACACAGTGGTCAACGTGAGTTGCAGTCGTATGAAATTCACAAAACGCATAATACCTATCATTTTCAATGAAATCAGTCGGATAATCCTTTATAATTGTCGCGGAGTAAAAAAAAGTTTGTTCGATTGATGAACTCTCACGCGTTCTCCCACGCGCGCGCTTTATTTACGCGGGCTTTAACAGCCGACTCTTGTCATCGAATGGCTTAATACTCGCTTTCTCACATGTTTCTCAGCGTCCGTCAAAAACGGATCATTTGTCTATTCTGAAAACTGCCGAACATCGTAAGTTTTCTAAGCAGCCGCGTGCGAGACATTTTATCCGGCACAGTCTGTAATTCATGTGTAAACTCGTCCAACAGTGCAAGCAAAAGGATGATCGTTACAGCATCTGAATTCTTACACGGCCAGCAACACTGAAAAGCCTATGCATTACAAGAAGCTGAGAACGATGGCGCGCCGTAAGATATGCTCCGAGGTCAAAGACGAATGCGAGAATGACAAGGTCGTTGGTACCATCATCAGCTACTTCAGCGCCAGGGTAATTATTATCTCGCTGTAATACACGCGTGATTACATATTGCAGCTCGCATATCTGTGCTGTCGACGAGGTGGTAGATGGGTACCAAGCGATATGCGATCTCACGTGGATATTCGTGATGGGCAGGCAACGTCGATGCATATTATTACGAACAATTATCTTTTTTTTTATTATATGTACGAGATCGCACTTGCCACAATCGACTGACTGTTCGTGTTATCAGCTATGCGCGTTGCTTTATTTGCTGGATTCGAATGTCCAAGGAATAAAACGGAAACTACCAAGATTTTTACTCTGCTGTCTATACCTGAACGATTTATTCGTAAACCAGGTGATTTCGTGCGTTTTTTAACAGCCAGTACGAAGATTACCTTAACATATGCAAGCATAACGTATGTATGTACCAGGTGTGTGCTCGAGTCAAGGACAGATGTTTTGATGAATACTCAAAAGTATCGGGCACAACATCCAACTGAAAAGTATTTTATAAAATGTCCTTCTCTTGAAAATAAACCCGACTTGAGATTTCTAGAGATGCAGTAGAAATAAAATGCGCGAAAGAACTAGAATGTGTGTGCATGCTTGCGTGCGTAAGACTGAATAGTTTCCAATTATACCTAACAAGTTACACTATATGGAATTTGATGAAATTCTTATAGTTTCGAGCAAAAAAATAACTCGTTTCGAACACGTATTTATGTTCACTTCCTTGCTAAAACAAGATGAGAATGAATGTACTGCGTTTCTGAAAAAGGCTTCATCGACAAATCGTTGGATAAGATTCTTTGACTTGTTTTGAAACGGCACCAAGTTTTATTCGAAAATTAGAAACTCAATAGTGCTGCAGTTTTAACCTAGCTGAGTAGGCTATGGCGCGCTTCGAAAAACTAATTACCACCGCAAATTTTAGATGAAAATCTGACGGATGATATATATTATAAAAAGTTTATCATCACGGCTAAAAAGTACGAAATAATATTATATACCCCGTTGAACAAGGCTTATTCATCCAGCATATGATAGGCACTAAAACTTGGCACTTTGTCGCCAATCGCGAGAGCAAATGCAGTATTTAAACGCAACCGAATGATGAGAAAGAAGGAGTAAAAATGAGCAAAATGCCATTGAACGTTCCACTCTCGCACGGCGAACCGCAAAAGCACAATCCATTACAATTAACGTTCGCGGGTGCAATTCACGCGCTCGCTGCATCCGCGTTTTACCTCGACATTTTTTTCCCTCGAATATTTGCACGGGCAGAAACTCTACGAGCTGCTCGCGCTTTCGCGCTTATATACATATATAGCTAGACCGACAACGTAGTATAGAACTCGTGTATCCTTTCACCCGATGCGTACGTGTGCCAATGCGCCTGTGTTTGTGCAAAAATGTATACGCACGGCGGCGATCGAGTCGTATTTAATATATCGCCAACAGTCGTCTTTGCTACTTTCATCCAGTGGGTTCGTAACAAGTGCCTCGTGCCGAATAGTTTTGAGTTGTCTGCAAACGCGCGCTTTGGACTTGGTATTTTTACTCTCCATCTCTATCATACTGTACGTTTAAAATTAAACGTTTGAAATTGTGATTTATCGTTCTGAATTGACTCTGATCAGTGATTCATGGACAGAGGAATATTATGTTCAAACGTAAATGAGTGAAGATTAGAATTAAAGATTGAATGTAAAGTTAAACTGTGAGTAGTCTATACGTTTTTAAATTTAAATCAAATTATGGTGCTATTGTTAAATTCATTTTAATACATGCTTGTTATTAATTATTTATTTATTTTGCCTCCTAAAATTCATTTAAAAAAATTAACTCTGCTTCATACTTTGAAACTGTGTCGCATTTTTATGCTGGCAGCTAAAAAAGAAAGTTATTATTACAAAGTGTGACGATGAAGCATGTTAACAGTATAACTTGAGGCAGGTGAAGTTTCGCATCGCACTTAATACTCTATTTTTGGTGAAATTAAAAAAAATTGTAAAATGTAAGCATGAGTAAAACAATTTCTGTCCTACACTTTCTATAGGTTGTACTGAATACCGAGAGTACAGTAGGTATTGTAACGACACTGCAAAAAAAAAAAAAGAAAAAAAAGAAATGCCAAGCACATTAAATACCGAAACGATACTTTAATACGATGTATGCACACACTATATCCAACTATGTTTGAGATCCACAAGTCATTGAGTTTCATACGCGCGTATCCTTTCAAACGCCGAAAAAAAACATCGCGCAAGTAATGCGTACTCGCTTAAAACTGTTTTTAACTCTCTTTTTCTCTCTTCCTCTCTAGAACTTCTTTTCAAAACGTTCGTTCCGCTCGAATCCGTTGAAGCGAACGAAGAGCGTAACAAAACTCGAGCGTCAGAAGCAGCGAGGTGGTGCAGGTGGCCAAGCCGCCGGCCTTCGCGGTTGTCGCTCGCACGAGTCTCTGCTCTGCGGACAAGCAGTCACCTCGATGGATCTTGCCCAGATCACACCTTTGCACCCGAGCCTCTTGGATAGGCCACATTGCTTCCAGGTGACGCCGACCAATGGAGGCCCCAAGTACTTTGCCTGCAGGAGCGCCCACGAGAGAGAGCAGTGGCTGCACAGGTAAGCACATTTCATCCGAAATCATTGATCGGCGATAAGTGTTTTCATCGAATTTTTTTTTTTTTTTTTTTTTTTGATAGCCTGCGTAAATCGGTGCAACCGGAGGCAGAGCAGACGCGCCGCACCGACAACTCGTTGCAGATCTGGCTGCTGGAGGCTAAAGGCGTCCCGACCAAGAAACGCTACTTCTGCGAAGTTTGCTTAGACTCGACTTTGTATGCCCGCACGACGTCAAAGCTCAAGGCCGAATTATGCTTCTGGGGTGAAAGATTCGATTTTAATCATTTGCCAGCGGTCAATTCGATCCTAGTGAATTTGTATCGCGAGGCTGATCGCAAGAAGAAACGAGATAAGAATGTTTTAGTAGGTGAGTACTCGATATACCGATGAATGTAAATGTACCGGAGGGGTTTCATGAACACCTTTCGGGGATTCCAATCCTCCATTATGATGGCGCATTAATTCTATGAACCGAGCCAATGATCAATATTTGAACTACGAAAGTAGGCCAAACTAAGCCCCTTGCTCTAATCGAATTCTTGTTATGAAGATTTTTAAAGGTAATGCACAACGTATTACGCGTCAAAACGCGATGAAATATTTTCGAACGATTCTCAATTGTAATGTGGACATTGTATGCATTCATTAGTAGTGCTCCTCTGCTACCGGAATAACAGCTAGAATATTGCAAGTCCATACAGACCTGCTTTTTCCTCTCTTTCTTCCCCCGCTTGAACGAAAAATTTGTTTCGCCGAAGAACTAAATAATAAGTGTCGCGTAGGTGCATCGCACTTCTGTCAACATATATTGAAACGCTCTCGATGGCAATATTCGCTTATTTCATTCATTCCGCTTCCGCGAAGCAAATTTTTGCTCTCTTTTTCGTACATATACAAATGGAATACGGCTTACTCCCACGCGCACATTATAATGCTTGTTTTGATGCTTTCAATGCCTAAATAATAAAAGAGCGCGCGTCCCGTAAAAATCTTGAAAGAACTTTCTCGTGTATATTCATGCGTGAGAGTTTCCCCACTGCTGCCCGAATATGATTTTCGGGCATTTAAATGCTCGTTATACGTCCGAATAAAAGTGATCTTGGTCTCTTGAATCGATTTCAAGTCCACTGAAAACAATAGCGCTGCTTATGCCCACAGCGTTTTTCACTGAGTCATCATTTATTGAAAATGATTTATTTTACAGGCTCGGTGAACATACCAGTGCACAACGTCACGTCGCGTTATCTCACAGAAAAGTGGTATCCAGTTATAGGAGAGAAAGGACCATTGAAAGATCCACCAGCACTGAGGGTAAAATGTCGATTCCAATCAGTCGACATACTGCCAGTGCAAGTTTATCAGGAATTTCTTGAGTACTTGAAAACCGATTACAAGGCACTGTGCGAAAAACTAGAGCCCGTGATCGGTGTAAAGGCCAAGGAGGACATTGCCACTGCTTTGGTTTCGGTCATGCAGAGGGAAAAGAGAGCTCCCCAATTCTTGGCCGACCTAGTCATGATGGACATTCATAGAATAGACGACGAACGACTAACATTCCGAGGCAACAGTTTAGCGACTAAAGCCATGGAGGCATACTTGAAACTGACGGGCGATCGATACCTTCAAGAGACCCTCGGTCCAGTGGTGCGAGGTGCTGTGGAGGGTGGCGATTGCGAGGTCGACCCACTTAAAGTATCCTCGGTCGCTTCGCTGCACAAACAACAACAGAATCTCAAAGCCGCTGTGGAACTGGCATGGAGCCGTATACTTGCTAGTCACACGAATTTTCCGATCGAATTGAGAGAATGTTTCAGAATTTTCCGCGAACGTCTCGCTGAAATGAATAGGGAGGACATGGCTGACAATCTTATCTCCGCGTCAATTTTCTTGCGATTTTTGTGTCCAGCTATACTCAGCCCGTCTCTTTTTAACATAACGCACGGTAAATATTCAATTTCATTAATCCAGAAACAATATCGGTTCTAGTTGTGATGTTAATCAATCGATTTAATTCATTACAGAATATCCAAATGAGAAAGCCGCGCGGAATTTGACGTTGGTAGCAAAGACACTTCAGACGCTGGCTAATTTCACAAGGTTTCAGGGCAAAGAAAACTTTATGGAATTCATGAACGACGTGTTGGAACGCGAAGCGCCGTCCATGAAAACCTTCTTACAATTGATAAGCGTAAGTATTAATAAATTGCTCTTGTTTAGGGATTCGACCTCTCTTCCTTAAGTGGACTCTTATTATATTATAACTTTTACGGCTTTTTCGTAAGACGCTACGCTGTCTTCGCCAAAAAGTTTTAAAAAGAAAACTGTAATGGGTATGATACCGTTTTCGAAGAATATTAAAAAACTTTTTCATTTACCGAGCTCCACTCATAGTGCTCGCCTTTTTATCTATGAAAGTTAACTCGAGGAATTTTTAAAAGCCTTTGGTCCTTCCTGTGCTGAGATTTCTATAGCCTCGTATAATTTGCCAATGTCATTCAACTTGCTCTATTTGAAATGACACATTTAATTTACTTATAATTTAGAGACGTCATCTATTTATTATCTATTTATTTTTATAATTTAATTGGTTTTTTTTCAGAGTCCTCAGTCAAAGGAAGTACCGACATCCTCGATGGAATTTGATGGCTTTATTGATCTGGGCAAGCAGTTGAGCCTGCTCCATTCATTATTGCGGGAAAGCGTAGCAACGATCTCGTCGACATCACCGACTGCACCACCTTCTCGCCTTCCGGAAATTCTCGATCGAATTTCTCACACCTTGGATCAACCAGGACCAAGTCCTGTTTCGACGACCCTACGCTACCCAAACCTGCAGAACAATATTTTTCGTTACAATGATCCAACAATAGCTGACAGTAACACAAACCTGTCGATATCAGCAACCTCGACCATAAGCAGCAATCATAGTACTCTTAACGGGACAAATTTAACCGATAGTACCGAAATACTGCAGAGCAACACACTAGGACACCATCACAGCAGCAATAATAACAATATCAACAACAACACTAATCGCGGCAGTCCGAACGTAGTGCGAGCAGCGACTTTGCCGAGAAATACTTACTTGCCGAACAACGGCAAACTGCAGCTGCAAATCAATGCCGAGGACTATCCTCTAGAGCCACCGGCATTTGTCTCGAGATCGCCGACGCCGATAAATAGACAGCAACACCTTGTCCACCAGCGATCCGCTTTCTTGAATAATCGTAGTGGACCCGGCTATCGGCTGACTGCCAGTGCCAGTTTAGCCAATGTCAATCACTGCCAGACTTCGACGCATCCAATGAGTCCCACTAGATCGGGAAGTCACAGTAATCTTAAAGACTCTAACTACAACATAAATGGTGGCAATAACGTCATGAGTTCTGCTCAGCATCGCTATAACATAGCCAAATTGCAAAACCTTGATATTCACGAGGACACTTTCAATCACAACAGTTACAACGTGGCTAGATCTGCCAGTAGAAATCAGTGTCACAAAGAAGAAAACGCGAATAATCAACAACAGCAAAATTACAACAACGTCACCAAGACTAGCAAAAACTCAAATCACGCTAACAACCTCCACAATCATCAACAACAACAGCATAATCATCATCATCATCATCACCAGCAGCAGCAGCAGCAGCAACAACAACAACAACAACAACAACAGCCAAACAATAATTATCACAAAACCACAAATAGTACTCAGCAACTGACCAACGGCAATCTTGATGAATTATCTGATCTGCTGAGGTACGCTGACGATGAAGTTTCTGAATCCAAGTCCCAGAAGGGCTCGCAGATCTCTATTTCACAATTAAGTAATGTGGCATCGTCAGGCTATCAAAGCTTTGCTGCCTACAGTCAGAGTTCGAGCCCTGTGGAGCTGAGCACAGGCAACACTAATGTCAACAACCACAACATCGGCAATGCACCTCTGGCTTTCGCCAATCCGGTCTATCATATGGAAGCTAGCATGGCAAGAAATGGCAGACGAGGCAGTACGAGTAGCGACGAGCGAGATGGTTGCAACGGTGGAGGTGTCGAGAATGTCAGGGGTGTGGATTTGAGCCCGTCACCTCCGCTCGCCCACAATGCAAGAAATCTGCAGAGAAACAGCGCTGGACTGCAGTGGCGACAAAATAATTCCATTTCGAGGATTACCAATAATGAGCAAAGCCAGAACAATGGATGTTGCACGCAAAAATTGAGGAGAAGATTGTCGCTAGATTCGACTAGAGATCTATCGGATACAAGCGAAGAAGAGAGCTGCGCTACCAGAAGGAGTAAGTCGAGGAGCCACAGAAGTATCGATCAGGTACGGATTATATCTTATTTATTACACAAATTATTAATAATGATTGATTACTCGATATTTAATCAAATACATATTTACATGATAGAGTCGGGCGTTATTAATGCGCAAATAGCACTAATTTATTGTTAACCATATAACTGATTGTCACTAACACATTAATTATGTGGCTGTTGCTCGCCTCTTTTTTACAGTACGAAGTGGAGATCGAGCGATTGCAGAGCAGTGTGGATCGATTGCGTGCTAGGCTTGGCGCCGTCGAGAATGGCGACCTCGAAGGTATTGGCCCAGACTCTAAGATGAAGAACATAATCTCCAGGTACTAATCTTTGATTAACTGTTTATATGTTTATGATCACTTGATTTTGAGATCACGTCTCGCTATTGGTACATACTGTAGTTTGTTTCTCGACATTGCAAAATTAATAACTAAAACGAGACTTGCTGTTAAATTAATGACAGTAATTGACTGTACGAAACGATTAGGCTTTTACTCGGCTTTCATTATTTTTTACAACATTTGAGGAAATGAATTTATAGAGCGCATAACAAATGCTTTTAGATAATGAATCATAAAATCATTGAGTATCATACAGAAAAAATATAATTTGAGTAAAATAAATAAATTGAATTTATAAAAAAAAATTAAGTATCAAGATTCACAATTTTGGATACAAGATAAAAAGTAGACTAATAGAATCTGAGTTTTTTTGGGAGTACTTTAATTGATGGTGTTTTTCTGTGCCTTTTATCTGCTGCATTAATGGTATTCTCTGGCTTGATCTGGATATTGGTGTAAGAGTTAAACTATTTATCAAAACTTCAGTAATTTCTGAACGTGGTTAGCATCTGTATCTGTTTTACAGTAACAATTCATTTGTTTTATTTATTCTATACACATTTATAACGCATTTTATCTGTGAAAAAAGTAATGAATGAAGATGTACATTAATATACATAACACATTACTTGAGCTTGCTATTTATTAAACACTTATGATTGATTTTTCTGAATTTCACTATTGTATCAACCAACGTATTTATTTTACTCGCGGTATGTTTGCTTTTCGTTCATGCACTTTTCATGACATAATTGATTGATCATTGCCAAATGTTACCTTACTTTAATAATTGCTTCTTTTATCTATTTTATTATACTTGTAAGTTCATATATATATATCTATTTGGCATCATCCTGCATCGCTAATTATTCTTTCATTAAGCTCAATTGCTTTGAAATATATTTAGTACTTTTTTTTTCTATATTCTTAAATGAAAGTTTATGTGTACATTGAAATTGCATTTTTGTATTTTATTTTTGAATAGTATTTTTCCCTAAAATTCTAAAATTTTAGAGACGCGGCTATTTTGGTTAATCTTCTTCATTATTTACGTGATGAATTTTGTGATCTTTCGCGTTTTGATCAATTCGTTTGAGTGAATCATAACCATTAGAATTTTGAAGAAATGTGCACCACCTGGGCTGTACGAGACAATTTAAAAAAATTTTAATTATTTGCAAACGCGAGAGAAAAAAATATTCTAACTAGAATATTTATTTATGCTACATAAAGTTTATTCTTAAAAATAGTTTGCATTACTTTTCAAATAGTTTTATCCTTTATTAACTATAAATACGATATCATATTGATGCTTGTTTTTTATTTGAGCTATGCATAAAATCTTACTTAAAACTGAGAATGCATTAGACTTAGATCTTGAAACAAAGAAAAATCATTTTGATTGAGAAAAATAGAAAAATGGCATGATTAAAAAAAATCTGACTCAAACTAATGATACGATCTCTCAATAGGTTGATATCCGTGGAGGGAGAACTGCGCCGCGAGCAACAGAAGATGTCAGCGGCGTTGTCGTACAAGCAGCGCGTGATCGATGCGCAAGAACAGCAGATCGCAGCCCTCGACGCGGCGAATTCCCGTCTTATGTCGTCGAATACAAGACTCTTGTCCGCATTAAGTACGCTTAGAGAACGGTATCAAGGAAACAACAATAATAAGTCCAGCAGTAGTGGCTCTAGTAATGTTTCTCCCACTATTAACAGCAACTCAGCCGAGATGCATCAAGTAGCGGGAGCTGCTCTGCTGCAAGAAATAGCCGATCTTGCGGAATTGAAAAGTTCAACCTGTTGAATAGAGCTTCTTTAACGATAGCTTTTATAGTTATCAATCCAAAGTATGATTTTCCGGTTTAATTAGAAACTACGATGTCCATTTGTTGGATGAAATTGTAAATATTTTGTGAATGATTACAAGTGCGAGTGTAACTTTCCTACAAAAACCTAAAATATCGACAATTAATTTTGTCTATGAAAGCCAGAACAGATACTTCGATATTTTTACTTCGACTATATTTGTAAATATGCAATGTATAAATATTTCCTAATAATAAGTAATGACAAAAGTATCCAAAGCCAATATCCTTTGAATTTTCACAGTGACACTTATCACGAGAAAAATAAAGGTTTTATTGAGATAGAAAGGAATAAAAACAGATAACAGTATTATCGTGTTTACTTAATATTAACTTGTATTTATTACAACAACAACAAAAAACGAAAGGGTAAACGTTTTAATACAATTTTTTCATACATAATTTTGTATGACAATATCGAGAAAAGATGATGAGCTATTTTATCTACCAAATAGATGCATGTGCATTTTTTATATTTACAAATATAAGGGTCTCGAAGTATTGAAGTTTGTTGTTGCTTTGCAAAACTGTAAGAATGAATGCTTATAGCGTAATTGTATGAATAAGTAATATTACGTTTGGAATTGAGAGGGGCTCCCGTATCTATAAACATTTCATTACATATTATGATATATATTCATAGATAATTGCTTTAAACAAGACATTTTGAGATATCACATAACAAATTTTTACCAGATTGAATGTTTTTAGATATTAACGATTAAATTATATTTACTGAAGCAAAATCAGTAGTACAGAAATATTAATAACCAAAATTTTGTTCTGATGTATTATATATGTATAATTCAAATTACCTAGTTGAAGCAATTCATTGGATATCGATAAATCCTCATTTGCTTGAACAACGTGTACGAAAATTTTTTGTATTATATTTAAATGAAAAAAGTATTTACAATGTCCTTTCATTGTTTGTAGGCACATGCTGAAGAACACGCAAAAAAGCGAAAGATTTGCTCAGAAAGAAGCGCAAATATTTATTGAAAAAAAAAAGAAATAATGATAAGTAAAGAAAAGACTATTTAAACGATGCGATTTATCTATGAGTTGAATGTACAATTGTTTTTGAGTTGAACCACTGTTTTGTACAATAATTTTTACCATGTGTATTTATAGTAATGTAAGTTCTAATTTTATCGGTGCACGTGGTTGACGAAATTAATAGCAGATATAAAGACAGTTGTAAATTGTCAATTTTAAATGTTGAATATGAGAATTTTTACTTCTCTTTCTTTGATTGCATCTATTTGTACATTATACTCGAATTTATTCGTGTGCAATTTTTTAAAATCTTACCGAAAGTAGCGTTGATTCTTACTCGTGCTATAACAAGTATGAGCTAAAAAAATACTTTACTTATAAGAGTCATTTTAACTGCTTCGTATTTTAAATAAAAAATTTTACGAGACGATTAGAAATGATATTTAACGAGTAGTTCTTACCAAAGATATTTATCAGCACCGACGGAGAGTGTGTATTATTAATATTTATAATAAATGAATTCTTATTTGAATTTATGTAAAATATTATTGAAACTCTTTTCTTGTATGCTTGCGTATTATTATTATATATTATTAAACTTCGAAAAATTCATATGAAAATGAGTATGACTGAACTTGAAAAATTCACTGTGCATAAATTGTTTAATTGTTTTAAAAAGTTACGAATCATTATATGATTATTATAACTAAAACTCACCATACAGTGACGTATGAATGAAATTATAGATGAGTGATTGGAAATACAAATGACGTGAAAATGATAATTGCTAATGATTATATTGCGAAAAATTATAAAAGTATTAACTCGTATGTATGTTCAATAAAATTGTCAGCAAGTTATGATGTTTTATGTTCAAGTGTAAGAATATAATTTTTTTGTACAAGTGTGGTTACAGTGTATAGGAAGATACATTATATTATGTTGCGTTTCTTTTTCTTCACTCAGTTTTTGTACTTTCTTTCACAAATACAAATTCATACATTGTATATGTATTAATCTGTTTGCTTTTTAAGCAATCGCATGTATACAACATGAGATTCTTATACATTTAATCACTTACTAGATTTATATATACAAATAAATGAATGCAGTAAACGACAAGATGTTTTTCCGATAAAAGATATCTATTTATGAAATAAATAAGCAGCGTGTTCATCTTTATTAAAGTTGCATATTACTATATTTTTTTCTGTCATAGAAACTGTATTAAGCATATATGAAGCATTAGATCTACACACACAAATAAATAATATCAATCACTATATAGTTGTCTTATGATTCATTTTTATTTTATATACCTACAGTTCAAATAAGATCGACTCCGAGTACAATATTTTTAATAATTCCAATATATTTAATGGAAAATAAATATTTACATTTTCGAGACTTTTTATTTTATTATTGCATTAAATTTTTATAATTTTAAGTTTAAACGTGGAAAAAACTATACAAAATACATTGCTTAATATTGCATTCTAACTATAAATAATATTTAATATGAGGTGTATTTTTACAATTTTTAATATTTTCTTTTTCCATTTAATGTAAAGTTAAAAAAGTACATAAACTATGGCAAATTTTTCTGTTGTTATTGTTTCTTTAGATCGTCAGAAATTTGATTTATTATATCAAATTCAGTTATATTATCTTATAGAGCAGCAATATTTTTATCAATCTTCAAGTATTTCTTCAATATTAAATATTATCAATTTTCAATATTAAACACAATTACACAATAACAATTCAATAGTTTTGAAACTATAATTATAATGTAACTATTTATAAATGATAATTTAATAATAATATCGTTTCATTACCGAGAAACAATCAAAAAATTCACAGAAACAAAGTTTAGTTAACGATAAATTATTATTATCTTTTATACAAAAAGTATATTATATTTTACCATATGCCACAGTGTAAAAGTTTTAGTTTTTAGTAATTTAATAAAACAAAAACAAAGATAAATTTGATGGTTCATTTGGAGAAAATGAAAAAATCATTTTTTCCAAAGAATTAATTTTTTCAAGTACAAAATATTTTTCCTGTCATCATAAGAAGTTATCAAAAATGATAATTTAAAATTTAAGTTTCATCAGTCTCATAAGTTGGTGAAGATGCAGAGTACGTCGGACTCGTAGGAGAGTAGCTTTGAGCTTGAGGCGAGTAAGCCGGAGAAGTCGGAGAATAACTTGGCGATGTCGGTGAATAAGAATGACTAGTTGGCGAGTAGGTTGGTGACGTAGGAGAGTATTTGGTACTTCCTGGAGAATAAGTCGGAGATGTCGGAGAATAATTAGGGCTGCTCGGTGAATATTTCGTACTTCCACTATGCTGTGGGGAACTTGGCGAATAACTTGGAGATGTTGGCGAGTACGAGGGACTCGTGGGCGAATAAGTGGGAGAAGTTGGAGTGTATTGCGGGGAAGTACCAGCGAACGATGGCGAGGTGGGAGAGTAACTCGGCGAAGTCGGAGAATACTTGGGAGAAGATGGCGAGTACGAAGGAGAAACGGGCGTATAACTCGGTGAAGTAGGAGAATAACTGGGACTCGTAGGTGAGTAGCTTGGGCTAGTCGGTGAATAACTTGGTGACGTTGGCGAGTAACTAGGGCTTGTGGGTGAGTAACTAGGACTCGTCGGCGAATAACTAGGTGAAGTTGGAGAGTAACTTGGACTCGTAGGTGAGTAACTTGGACTAGTCGGGGAGTAGCTGGGACTAGTTGGGGAATAACTGGGTGACGTTGGCGAGTAACTCGGACTCGTTGGTGAGTAACTAGGACTAGTCGGAGAATAACTGGGACTCGTGGGAGAATAGCTAGGGCTCGTTGGAGAATAACTCGGGGATGTTGGTGAATAGCTAGGACTCGTTGGTGAGTAGCTCGGACTAGTTGGAGAGTAACTTGGGCTAGTTGGAGAGTAACTTGGACTCGTTGGTGAGTAATTTGGACTAGTTGGCGAGTAATTCGGTGAAGTTGGTGAGTAAGTAGGGCTCGACGGTGTCATGCTTGGCGACATTGGCAATTGGTAAGCCGGACTCGTTGGCGAATAGCTCGGAGAAGCGCCACTGGCTGGTGACATTGGATAAGGACTCATACTTGGTCCAGGACTGCCAGGACTTCCCGGTTGAGGCGAAAAAGCGTAAGCGGGAGATAAGCCAGACGCGTCGGATTGTCCGGATGGAGAAAAACAGGCCCCTCCAGGCGTCATTCCACTACCTAAGCTAGGAGACATTCCTATGCCCCCATATCCAGGAGTTTCTCCTAGCCAAGGAGTTTTGAAGCCCGACGGACTCATACTAGGTGTACTGGCGCTGCTGAAGAAAATACCCGTACTACCCAGTATGTTGGCATCTGGATCTAAGGGGATCTCAATACCCTGTTTACATTTTTCTGCATCGAGTAAAAGATCGAAGCAACCAGTACCGATCCGAGGTAACTGACCCATAATTATGTTTTCCGATACACCTCTCATGGGATCGACTTCGGCGTGCGAAGCTGCATCCACTAACACATCGACTGTTTCTTCGAAAGAACACCTCATAAGGGCGCCTGTGTCTTGTCTGTTAATGCCATGGCGAGTAATGGCCATGAGATGTCCTTTGGCGGTCATGACGTCGCAAAGCAAGGCCAAGTGACGGTAGTTGACGTACAGTCCATAGAATTGCAGCACAGCGTTCATCTCTTTCTCGACGGATTTTCTTACAGCTTCGATGCCCAGTACTTGAAATATCTCGCAAATATCATTGGAGAAGGTTCGCACTGGGTCAACATCGCGTTCACTCAGTACTTTCATTAAACTTGTGCCGTCCGTTTCGAGCAACCATTCGGCAATTGCTTTGAACTCGCCTGTCTCCGTTATGATGATTCTTTTCTTCGCATCAGTTTGAGGCAAGTGCATGTATACTTTGCCGATTGCCTCAATGCCCTGCAGAGTCATGTCGCTTAGCATATTGGCTTCGATGCAACGAAGAAACATATCGTCTTCCATTTTATCAACAGCGTCTTCCATGTCAGACGCATCGGTAAATTTATTGTCTTCGCTGTTCATGATACGAATTCGGAGAACGAGTTTTTCGGCGTTATCGTCGTTGAATATGCAATTCAAATCGTCGCCAAAGCCTGCATTAATTTTCTCGGCTATCTGCTCCATCGTCAACTTTTTATCCGTCATTCTTTTGCGATCGAGCTCGATACGTAGTAACCAAGGTGAGATTTTCGTAGGATCAAAGTCCGGCATCTCGTAGTACACATTGACGAATTCTTGATCTTCAGAAATTACCGTATTTTGAGGATCAGGATCATAATAAATTGCCGTATTTGCAGTAACTTTTTTGAGAGTTGTATGCTCGAGCCGGCAAAGAACGTTCTTTGCTTTTTCGGCATCTCTGGCGGCGGCTCCAGTGAGAAAAACGGTCAAAGAAGGCGCTTTGGGCTTTTTACTGATGTTGATGATTTCCTTCAGTCGTGGCACTCCGAGAGTTACGTTCTTAGAAGATACTCCAGCGAAATGGAATGTATTCAATGTCATCTGTGTGGCCGGCTCACCTAAGGATTGAGCGGCTAAAGCACCAACCATCTCACCGGGTACAACCTGCGCTTGCTGAAATCTAGTTTCGATTTCTCCTATCAACCATTCGAAAGCTTCGCTAGACAGTCTAAATTCTTCCGAAACGACTTTGGTGCACAGAGTCGATCGCACCAAGCATTGAAAGAGCAATGTTGCATTTTCATTGGCTTGCTTACTCAGTCGATCTTCACCTGCTACAATTACGCACTTGTCCAAAAGTTCTTTGACTCCTTGAATTACTTTCATCGGGCTCAAATCAGTTGGAGCTCGTTTGTTGATGCGGAAGATTTTTTGCACATTCCATATCATTCGCTGTAAATTGCAAGGAAGTACAACTTTTGATTCGCCACTTGGAAAAATTTCCCGCAGAGCTGCCCTGTCTTTGTTAAGTTGTTCCCACTCTCGTTCCAATTCTGACACTACTTCCCCAGAGCCCATCATTTCTCGAACGATTTCCTCATTAAATATGCGCCTGAGATATCTCTCATTGCTCGGATCGAACTTGAACTTTTTCTCGAAAGCCTTATTACTAAGTTTTATAGTAGGTAAATTTTGAAATTCAACAGTTTCTCCGCATAGGCCGTCTTCGCCGTAACGTAACTGAATGAGTTGGCCAACGGAGTTTCTGACCGTACCGTCGTAGTGAACCATCACGGACTCCATAGCCTTAATTAAACGACGCTGAATGTAACCAGTTTCGGCAGTTTTTACAGCAGTATCAATAAGACCTTCGCGACCTCCCATAGCATGAAAATAAAATTCCGATGGTGTCAGTCCAGCTAAATAAGAATTTTCCACGAAGCCTTTGGATTCCGGACCATAGTCGTCCTTGATGAAATGGGGCAAAGTACGTTTACGAAAACCAAATGGTATTCGTTTACCTTCTACGTTCTGTTGTCCTACGCAAGCAATAACTTGAGAAATATTGATGTTTGATCCCTTAGACCCTGTAATTTAAAATAATTTATGTCAGTATTTTGTGATAAGTAAGTTGCTTATAATATATATTAGGGTCAAAATAAAACTTTTTAAAATTTTTGTCCGCACGTATGTCACCGATCTTGACGCGCTTTTGGTATTTTAGAGTACATGGTAGAAAAGTGCTAAAACCAAAGTTTTGGATATATCGTCCTAAAACAATTATTTTTGTAAAAAAGGGGTTTTTGGCTTCAAAAGGTGCGTTTACTTTTTTGAAAAAATTTGAAAAAATTTGATGTTACTTTTCTTAATGAAATAAAAAAGTGAAAAAATTTTCGAAAAGATTATTGCATTCTAACGCCGTATATGGATTTTCAAAATTTTCAATGATTTTTTTTGAAGGCCTGAAGCACTCAAAAAATCTGAAAAAATTCAAGGTTGTTCAGTTTATTGGAAAATATTTTTGTGAATTTTTTCAGATTTTTTAATTGCTTCAGGCCTTCAGAAAAAATATAGATAGAAAATGGACGTTTATAGAGAAGGGGGGAGGGGGTCCAAAATTTTGGTTTTGGCACTTCTTTATCATGTACTATAACATACCAAAAGCGCGTCAAGATCGGTGACATACGTGCGGACGAAAATTTAAAAAAGTATTATTTTGACCCATTGGTGTATGAACTCACCTGATACCACCATAGCCTTAAGATTGTTGTATTCAGTCAAAGATTTTTTCGCAGATCCTCCAGTTTTATCACGAGCATCGTTGAGGATTCTGTTTACTTGGTTTTCGAAAGTCTGACGAAGAGTATTGCCAGGTGTTGGCTCAAGCTCCATATTATGAGCTTTCTGAATAACCTCTATGACATCTTCTTTGGCCTTTTTAATAGCTTTCTGAATTTCCATATAGGTTTGAGGATCAGCAATGGTATCGCCAATACCAATGGAATGTCCCTCGTACAACAACCAATTATTGATAACAGTTTGAATATTGCCATAGAATTTACCACACACATCGTGTCCCAATTCCAGCATGCAAATATGTAACAAGGAACCGGCCGAAGTACCGAGTGTTTTTTTACACAAAATGCCCATTATCAATTCCCCGTGTTCAACCATAACTTTAGTGTCACCCGGTGAAATCCACTTATACGGCCCATCGTCTTCTTCATCTGGGTGTGTACTGTGTGTTCGTATCATATTCACATTTCCTGGAATAATTAGGGAAAATAACTGTTTGCCAGTCCAAAGAGGTTTAGGTTTGAGGATGCACGGCTTGGGGATCTTGCAATCCCAGTTTGGTAAGAACATGAGAAGGTTCATCATTTGTTCTTTATCGATAAACACGTCTCTCTTTGTCATCTTCCGAACAGCTGTCAAAGTATCCTGGACGATACCCATGACTGGTTTATTGGCTTGTGGGGTTATAATTTGACGAGGAGTGACGTGAATATTTTCCACTTCCGCTCTGGTTTCCATTGATTGAGGTACGTGCAAGTTCATTTCGTCCCCATCGAAGTCGGCGTTATAAGGCGAGGTGCAACTTAAATTCATACGGAACGTACTCCAAGGTAAAACTTTGACTCTATGGCCCATCATACTCATTTTGTGAAGAGTGGGTTGGCGATTGAAAATAACTAAATCACCATCCCTGATATGTCTCTCAACTTTGTAACCGTACTCCAAATGTAGATCCGATGGGTTTGGATGAAAGCGCAAGTCGATACGATCGCCATTATTTCTGATGATGTATTTGGCCCCGGGATAACGGGTATTGCCTCTTTGCACGAGTTCCTTCATGAGGTTCTTGTTGCAGGGTGTGACGATTTCCGGGAAAGTGAGGTTTTGCGCGATGCTTCGAGGGACGCCGACTTGATCAATTCTCAAATTTGGATCTGGCGTAATGACGGTTCTCGCTGAAAAATCGACGCGCTTTCCCATTAGATTGCCTCTGATTCGACCCTCTTTGCCTTTCAAGCGAGCTTTGATAGCTTTGAGTGGCTTTCCAGATTTTTGCATGGCCCTTGGCATACCAGGCATGTCGTTGTCGACCAGCGTGGCGACGTGAAATTGCAACATTTTCAAGTTTTCGTGTAAAATATGAGCAGCTGCACCGGACTGCTCGTTCTTCACCAATTCATTGTTCGACTTGATGATATCCGAGAGCTTATGCGTTAAATCGTCCTGATTCCTAGCCGAGCCGTACATTACTACTGCTGGTCTGACCGAAAGCGGTGGCACCGGTAAGGCGGTTATTATCATCCAATCCGGCCTCGCGAACTTGGGATCCATTCCCAGAATGAACGACTCCTCGTCTGTTATGTGCCTGAGAATTTCCCAAGCTCGTTCGGCAGTTAGTGCGATTTTTTTTTCTTGCGTATCTTCGTTCACATGCTTCCATTCCGCTGTGATGTCCAAGCCAGATCTGCGTAAATTTGGCTGATATCTGCCACAGCCACCGTGGCTCAACTTTTTGTTCGGATCCAGCACTAAACCATCTTTATTGATATCCATTTCGTCACCTCCTTCGCATATTTTTTTACTTTTGCATAGATCGTAAACGAAAGTCAAACGCTTTCGTGGTTGACCTTTGGATTTCATGACTATTTCTTTGATTTTTGGATTTTGCTACAACGATTATTTTCGACTGTTTATTTCCTCTACGTTCAAAACATGATTTTAATTAAATTGAAGCATTTTTATACTTACGGGACTGACCAACATTTTTGAACAGAAGAAACATACGCATCTCAGAATTTTAATCGTTTTGGTGATGAAAGCAATATGGAAAACGGGCTTGGCAAGATCTATGTGGCCAAAGTGTCCCGGGCACTCAGTCATGTTGCCAGCACAGGTTTGACATCGTGAATTTCTTTCAATGACGCCTTGTCTTGGATCCATAAGGCCTCCAAGTTTTGGACGTCCACCTTCCATAGTTTCGGCATAAATAATGCCTCTCTCGGTAACTGACATTCGTCTCTAAAAAACATCACTCTTTTTTTTATGCGAATTAAGATGTACGCGGACACTATTAGTGGATGTCAAAAAAGATTTTCAGTCAGGTCAATCATATTATTTGTGTTTTTCTCTTAACTTTCGGCACTTTCAAAAGTGGAAATGTCGTGTCAAACTATATAGATGACGGATGTTAGATGCAATTCTCAAATTGTTGCATTTGACGTTTCACGTGATTCTGTACACTATAATTCGTAGGCATGCGACATAGTATACGGCCTGTCGTCACCAAGTCGCTAAAACTTATGCGAGATAATTCATGTTGGAACTGAAAAATGTACTTAATTATAAGTACAGTGACTTTTCCTACTTGTACGTTAAACTCGTCCGTGTCAATGTCAAAATTCGTTCGATAAAATAATCAGTCCGGTAATCAAAGAGGGCCGAAAACTTTTCATGACAAGTGTCCACAGACTATCGTATCGGTCGTTCGTCTGACATTCAATCTCAATACTTTGTCAATTCATTCGAGCGGATATTCGGATAGGAGCGATCGGATATTTTGACAAAAGCTTACGATTTCATCGGGCGATAGAATGCCGAACTGGACTTTTTTCACGGTGCGCACCGTTGCCTTCGAGTCGGATGTGGCCATGTTCGCACAGTTTCTGCAAGTACACTGACGGCAAACCAATGCGGGGGTGCTGGCCGCTGAAGGGATGAAAGCGTCGCGTGCGCAACAACACCAACGCCGCTCCCCCTATATATATATATATATATATATCCATCACGAGCCGCTGAGTTGGCCGGCACGAGCCGCTCGATCGTAACCGCGCATGCTGAACAACAATGGCAACCACTCACTCTTGCCTTTTTCTCATGCTTGTGTAAGACAGAAAGAGAGAGAGAGGAAAACGTTCACTCGCTAGAGAAAGTCAACTTGCTGCAAATCAGTACCGAGCCATTCATATTCACAACTACTCATCTGTTTTTCCTGTCAATTACAAGCAAATTGATCTCGAGATGCAAACAATTTTTAAAAAACATGAGCTTGCAATAGATTTATGATACTTATAAAAGTAGTGGTGAGTTTGTTACCTAATCATTCAAATGGTTAATTAAAAATGTTTCAACAATTTCTATAAAAAAAATCTCGTTGAAAAATTTATTACTTGTTGCTAATTACATTAATATCCAATTAAAAATTATAGCTAAAAAAAATCTGCCAAAAAATTTATAGTATAAGTAAAAAGTAAGAGCTAGATAAAGAGAACTTATTTACAACACGAAATCTGTTCATAAAATTGCATCGACAGAATTTTCAAAATAAGGATTGAAACTTGAAAATACCAGAGCTAGCAATCAATTTTAAATACAAGTTGCAAATTGTAGGTAAGCAGATGGCGCTGCAAACGCGGCGCAAAAGTAGCAAAACGACGCAATTGCCAGTGAGCTCGTAACAATGCATCGAGCAACATGAGCAGCTCCGAGCAGACGGTCGCGACGCCTCGGATCGTCAACAATGAAATCGATTTCTCCATTGTCTCTCGCGATGGAAGAAAAGAGCATTACCCGCAAGAACTCCAAAAACGTATTGATCGCCAAGATAAGCGAGCTGTCATCTCCTGTTTGGGCAGAATTAAAGCTGATGCCGAGAATAATGAGAATCTGTCAAAGTCGAAGACGACGCTCGACATTTTGGTGCATTTATTGTGCTATCCCGACCACGAGGTCGTTAATGCAGCCATTAGCGTACTCGCTAATGTTTGCTTGGTCTACGAAGCCAGGTTGAAGGTAACTTAATTTAAACTTCTATTTATATGAATCTAGGCCTCTTTGCACTTAAAATTGGCACGAAAATATATTATTGTATAATATTATCAGTGTTTATACATGGTTGACCTGATTAATTTTTTCATTATTTATTGTGAACATTAATTTTTTATCTAATGATTTTTACATCTATTAACAGTTGACGTTATTTATTGTTCAATAGGTTGAGAACACAAAAATTGTACGCAACACATTGAAAATTATAACTGAAAAACCAAAAGGAAATGATGTTCTTCTGTGCAGAGCATGGAGACTTATAGGAAACTTATCTGCATGCAGGTCATTTGCTCAAGCTTTTATCACAGCTGGTGCTTTTGAAATACTATCTGATCAGCTTAGCTCTAAAAGTAGTACAGCATTTAACTTGATGGCCATTCGAGCAGTCAGGTAATAAAAATATAAAAAATTATTATGGACATGATTATTTTTATTAAATGTAGATTTTTGTTTATCACTTACATTTTTTTATTTTAGAAACATATTAACTTCTTATAATGAAAGTCGATCCAGATCCAGTATTCACAATATTATAGCTGCAATGAAGTCTATATTTCTTGCTGCAAGTAAAAAATTAAATGAGACTAAATATGTGGCTCTTAATGATACTTGCATGAAAACTATGCTGATATTTGCCACTTTGGTAAAGGATGATCATGAATGTGCAAAGCATTTGATTCAAGATGATGATAATGATATTTTAAAAACTATTCTGCTCCTTTATGAACAAAATGATGAAATTGCCATTAAATGTATATATCATCTATCCAAAATACCAGAGTGTCGATTAGAGCTAGGCGTCTGCAATGTTATAAAAGTGATCGTTACCACAATCAACAATACCAATGCAAGTCATCATTTACTCAGTAAAATTGTATCCACATTATGTTATTTCTGTCGTGATGGTACACATCGTTATAAAATACGATGTGAATCTGGTGTTCATGTAATGATGAATATTTTGAAAAACAAAGAACATCAAAGACTTCATCCTGAAATTTTACATGCCCTTACTTTGTTTACTTATGATGACGATAGTCTCTTGGTTATGGTACAGAATGGTATTTTAGACATTATAGCAGAGAAACTTTCAATAATGGTAGAAGAATGTAAAATCACGAGAAATGAAAGTTCCACATCTTTAAAGCGTAAAGTAGAGTCTTCAAGTAATACCAACTATTTTGAAGCTAAATGTTACAGAAAAAATTCTGGAAGGTAATTTTCAAACTTTCAATAAAGTTAATATTTTCAATTTTTTATAACATACATTTTTTTCATTTTAAAGATACAGTTTGGATTATCCTCGCGAAGATTGGAGTCCGAAAAGTTCAAAAAGTGGATCTTCTTCTCCTCCTCCATCACCGCCCTCAAGAATCATAGAAGAAATGGAAGAAACAATGCATAGTACTGAAGATGATTACAGTCCTGTTTGCAGCGATGCAGAAATGGACAATGATAATCAAGAAGAAATTGTTTCCCTCACAGGTTTCTCACCTGCTATAGTAGATGATTCACAAGATTTGGGGAAAAGCTGTAAATACGAATTTAACCGAACAGTCAATGCTTGTACCTTATCACTGCTAAATACTCTAAGTTTTCCAATTTATACCGTCGAAAAACTTTCTGATCCAGCTCTAATAAAGCCTCTTACTGCATACATTAAATTCACCAAAAACGAAAAAGCTTCAAACATTCTCAAGAGAATTGTTGCGTAAGTTAAACAATTTTTTATTTTTTTTTAAATTCAGCTCAACTTGATCTAATACTAAATTGTTTTTTTACAGTAAAGTAGTTTACTTTTTACCTCTCTTGAAACAAGGCTTTGCTCTTGAAGTTGAAAGTCTTCACAATGCAGAACAATATATAAGCCAATTAAGGAGTGTAGCCGAGCAAGGTGGTGTAGTAGGTGAGCTGCAAAATATTCTACTACGAAGTCATGAAGATAGAGCCATTGTTGTTGTTTCCATACCATTTCTTATAAAAACAAAGACTATTTTGCGCACTTTATTATTGAACGAAACGTATAGTGGCCTGCGTCTACTTTTTGATATATTGGCTAATCAAAATCATGATTTGTATGAAGCATCAATCGTAGCGATATGTAAGTTAGCAAATACTTTAAATTTGAAGCCTGACCCTGCATTTCAAAATCGAACAGATTCTACTACTGAATCTATAGCGGTATGTTTAATATTTTTAAGTACAACTACTAGTACTATTCAATAATGGCAATAAATTAAATTTATTACATTTTAGGGTCGTGAACGTAGTAGTTCAGGAACCTCGACTATGGTGACTTTTGAACTAGACGATGGAAGTACAGTGGAAACTTGTCGACAAATGCTATGTGAGCATTCAGAAGTTTTTTCAGCTATGTTTGAGGGTGGATTTTCAGAATCTGGTAAAAGACGTGTAAAACTTAGTGAAACATCAAAAGATGGTTTGAAAGTACTTATTTACGCTATGACTGGAGGTAGACATTGTCTCGATCGGCCTATCGAGGCACTTCTGGATGCTGTTTTGTTAGCTGATCGATTTCTAATGTCAGATATATCAGAAATGTTGGTGGAAGCATCATTGAGAAGCCTTGATTATTCTCGTTTGTATCGAGCTTGGAAATGGTCACGAAAAAATTGTTGCGATGAATTAAAATTATTTTGTGTAGAGTCATTTCTCACAATGAATATGAGTAGTGCGCAGCGTATTAGTGCATTTAGAGAATTCGCAGCTGATGAGAATTTTAATGAATTTCTGAAAACGGCTCAAGAATCTATAACGTTGGTTCGTCACTGGTTTACGGATGATGATGTGAGGGTATATGGATGGTCATGGGAAAAAGCCAAATGGAAGATCGACAAAGTTGTCGGAGATGTAACATTTACTGGTCATTAAGCATAGAAATAATAACGAGTTATATAAATACTAGAACCTGTGATTTTATTTAAATTTTTTTATAAAATGATTGATACTATTAGTCTTCAAAATATTGTAATGTACATAAAATAAACTATCTAGTATAATAAATTTCATTATGTTCAACACTTTCACGTCAGATAAAAATATTCTAAAATAATTGTTTACTCTAATCTTGAAATTTATCCAAATAATTTTTGTTATAAATGGAGTTCTTTTGAATAGGCTTATTTATTTTTAAGGTTTTTTATATTTTTGTACAAAAATTTTGGCCGATACATTTTGTTCTCAGATAATTTTTAACAGAGATTATAATTATATTTATATTTATACCCGTACTTTTTGAGATCACTCTAATTATAAAACTTGATATTATTTAAGAATGTTTAAATTTGGGCAAAATTTAATTTATTAATTATCTGCTAAATTTCAATTGTTACAGTCCAAAGGAATTTGAAATTAATCTAATTTTGTATTTGATTGTTGAAAAACATATTTAAAAATGATGTATAAAGTACTTCACAACCCGACAACCTTATTTTAATGAACAATAATTATATCTAAATGTGTAATAAAATAGACATTTTTGATTATTTCTAACTGATTATTATTTTGATATGCCAAAATGTTACAAGACTACATACTTGCTTTCAAAATCTAGAATATAAAAAAATAATTGTTACTCTTTTTTAAAATTAGTTACTCTTAGTGATCTTCATTCATTTCAAAAATAAATTTAATAATTAATCGACTCGGTCCTATCGCAACGTAATTTTTAATCTTCCCAGTGATGTAGCATACCTCTGTTGAATAGATTGTGATATAGAAAACTATATAATTGTAAATTTATTATACAGACAAGTCAATTGATTAAATATATTGAGAAATATTCTGACAATTAAATTTATTTAAAAAATAATAATTTTAATCATTTTCAAAAAATAATTAGTTCCATTATCTTTGTATTCGAGGTATGTATGTATATTAAACTTTATATTTCTGATTTCAAAGCTAACATTTAAATTATTTTTTAAGAAAATTTTTTCTCTACTGTAGTTTGTAATTAAATCATCTTATCGGAGCGAAAAAATTCTTGAGCACCCATTTTCTATGTAAAAGTTAATGTACTTTTTGAATATGAGTTTATAATTATTCCTCTGATAAATATTAAAAGAGTTATAAACAATTTACTGCGAAAAAACACGATTTTGTATACTGAAAAAAAAATTTATTTCAAATTTTTTTATGAGAGACTTAAACTGTGGCTAATAAACTCATATTCAAAAAGTATATTAAATGTTACGTAAAAAATGGGTACTCAAAAATTTTTTTCGCTCAAATAATATGATTTAATTACAGACTACATTACAGAAAAAAATTCTGTCCGTCTGGGCGTTAACGGTTTAAATAAACTATTTATTATGGTGCTTCCAATGCTTTACATTTAATACGTTGATCGAAATTTTTTCTGCCGGATGGTGCCACTAGCGGGTACAAAAACGGTACACACTGATTCTCATAACAATTAGTAAAGAATCAATTTAACGAATAAAAATGCAAGTTTTGCGGGTTTGTTTTACGTTCATCCGTAAATTACGTAAGAATACGATTTTTTGAACACATCTCCAACGCTGCTTTTATCATTAAAAAAATGTTTTACTAACAAAAATCCTTATAACCTTTTCATTATGCAACGCCAAAAATTAATTTCTGTTTCTTCTTTTGTTTTACTAAAATAAAACCACTTGTTGCTAACTTTTTTGTCAAAAATAATTTAAAAAATAAATTTTATTTTTATGTTTAGCGTCAGTTACTTTGATAACCGAGGATAAATTTGATAAAAAAGGAATATTCTGATAATTTTTGCAAGGTCCAATATTAAAAACTCCAATTAATGTTTATGATTCCCGCATTTTTCACAATAAAAACTCGCGTATACTTTGACTCGCGAACTTCATATTATTGTAGATAGCGACCTATAACATATATTGCAATACACATATGCGCTTTCAATTCATGCCTATTTATCTGGCCGATTGTGATGAAACAATGCGTAGTTAGTCTATGTTGCGCACCGATTAACGTTGTTATCGTAGCAAGGATCAATTATTGAGAGGATTTTATTTTTATATTATTACAAGGAGGACCAAATATGAGCCAAATAGAATCGGTTACTTTTTACAATGGGAATAAAGTCCCTGTTATTGGATTGGGAACGTGGAAGGTAAGCATTGATGGTAAAATATTAAATCCTCAAGTACTTTATTATTTCACTTACATCGAAGGTGAAACTTTTGACATTGCTAGATTATCTCGATATGAATTACAACTCTTGTTCATTTCAATCATTCATTTATATATTAAATGAGATGAGAAGGTTATGATGCTAGACATTCAAATTTCGATTAATTAACATTTTAAAAAGTAATTTTTTTATGGTGTGCTTCGGGTAACAAAGTATTGATAAATAAGTAAGATCTAACGAGCATAGGGAATTATTATTGCTTCATTTAATGAGCATAAAGCGAGTTAAATGTTAATTTACATGTTAAAAATTATAGACCATTATTTTTCAATGATCAAATAAAAACTCCGTGATCTTATCTATTTTTTTACGTAGCTGGCAATCGATCTACAATAATGTATACCATTTTATAGAGATAAAAAATAGACAATTCATTATTTATATATATTTATAAGATTATTTAGTTCAAAGATAATTTATTTTGAGATATAAATAATTCAATTAAGAAAAAATCCAAAATATTTTTAGTCGAAAGGTGAATCAGCAGTGGAGGTGATCAAAGATGCCATTCGAATTGGTTACCATCACATTGATACTTCACCGGTTTACGGTAATGAAAAAGAAATTGGCGAGGCAATAACAGCTCTTATTAAAGAAGGTGTAGTCAAACGCGAAGACTTGTTTGTGACCAGCAAACTGTGGAATACCCGCCATCGCCCCGACCTCGTCGAATCGGCGCTCAAGAAGACCTTATCCGATTTAAACCTTGAGTACTTGGATTTGTACCTTATTCATTGGCCTTTTGCTTTTAAAGGTTTGTATATTGATTAAAAACTTCTTTTATTTTATTTTTTATTTTTTCAAAAGTTATTAAAATAATTTATGAATTGTAGAGGAAGATGTACCATTCCCAGAAGGGCCGGACGGCAAAGTACTTTTCAGTGACGTCGATTATGTAGATACCTGGAAAGCTATGGAAAAAATTCACGAGAAGGGTTTGGCTAAAAACATTGGCGTCAGTAATTTCAACTCTAAGCAATTGCAAAGAATTCTTGATAATTGTAACATTAAACCAGTAACTAATCAAGTTGAGTGTCATCCATATTTACCTCAAGTTGAATTATCGGAATTTTGCAAATCAAAAGGAATATTGATAACCGGGTACAGTCCTCTTGGTTCCCCAGATAGACCTTGGGCTCAACCGGGAGATCCAAGTTTACTGGAAGATCCTAAAGTTAAAGGGATTGCCGAAAAGTACAACAAGTCACCAGCTCAAGTAGTTCTTCGTTATCAGGTTTGTTATATTTATAAGATTTTAAGTGGAAAGTATATTTATTTTTTTTTTTTTGCGAAAATATATTGATTGTACGTGGAAAATATATTTATTTTTTGCAATGCTCAGGTACAAAGAGGTCACATCGTTATTCCAAAATCCGCTTCGAAAGTGAGGCTTCTAGAAAATACAAAAATTTTTGATTTCGAATTATCGGAGGAAGATATTAAATTACTGCACACTTTTGACAGAAAATGGAGAGTCTGTCCAATGAATGGGTTAGTATTCGTTAATAATTTTAAGTAAAATTGAATTATGATTTGAAAATTGTAAAAAATAATTTTTATCGAAAAACCATTCCACATTTCAGATCGGTTGAACATAAAGACTATCCATTCCACGAAAAATTCTAAGTGCAATTATTAGTAAAACATATATTTTCATTATTTTTATTTTTATTGCTGTTTTACTAATTTTGAAATAAAAATGTATATCACTGTTATATTTATTACGCCAGAAAATAAATGTTTAACATAAGACTTTTTTTGTAATTATTAAAAAAATGTATTTGTGACACCCGAAAGCTGTAAATTCGTTTGTAAATGCACGAATTTTGTATTTATCAAAGTAGAATTATTTTGTATCTTTTAAATTTTTTGAATCATTTATGAACATTGACAATGATTTATGATCGTAAATTATTTACGATTAAAAAATGAATTGAACATAGAAATCCCAACAGTCATACATTGCTATAATAGTCTATCATATTCTCATAAAAGTTTCGTGTAACGTATTTACTGCTCCTCAAAAAATGTTACTTTTACACAATATGCAATGTATTTTTATAAAAATTTTGGACAACACCAATTATATATACAAATTTAATTATTTACGCATAAATTTTACTAAAATTAATTTTTTTCTTTCTTTGTATTGTAAAAACTTTATCTTCTAAAGAATGGAAAGTCTCTAATAAATTTAATTGTCAAAGATTTGAAGCTTTGTGTACTCAGAGTACTTTGGAATCGTAATGACTTCAGTTAGCAATTATTTTAAATTGGATATATCAAACTCGGTCAGTTAAAAAGCAAATTCGAAAATATTTTGGACGGGCGTAGTTAAGCGATGATACTGCTTAGCTGTTATCTGTATCCGAAATATACTCGATAAAAAAATGAATAAACACTAAATTGTGATTGCTAAGAGCTATGACCTTGTTCGTAAATTTCAGGGCCTCGCACCACCAATGACGACTGATGTGTCAATGTCGCCGTTTGATAATGAAATTCTGAGTATACGTACACGTGCGTATCATATGGCTATTTAACCAACCCGAACGGAAATAAAAAATCTCCCTCGTTTTCATACACGACGTATATTTATTCTGCTTTTTCAATATTTTCTCAATATCTATAAATATCAGTTCAATATTTCTAGAGATATGGACCGACGTAAAATGAATCACCATCGATACGTTTCCAATCATTTTGGGACGGTTATTGTACTGAAACTTGTACTGAGTCATATTAAATAATTTTTTTGTTAGTAAAGTGCTTTTTATGTTTTTGAATTTTAATATTTTGATAAATTTGATGACCAGAGCTTTTATGAGGTTTTAGGTTGATTATAGTATCGGCGCTTGGGAGTCTCCCACGTGACTCAATTCAGACCTTGTGGTGCTATATTTGGAAATCCAAGTAAGATGTAATGAAATTTTTCAATAAAGTTATGAAGAAATTCAGTTTGCTTGAACCCTAATTTATAAGTTGAAAAAATTTTTAATAATTAGTCAAACGAATAAATAACTCTGCATGATGAGCATGAATAGAAACAAGTTGCCGTTCAAGCACAAATATAGGGAAGATAAGGTACATGTGTACGCTCCTTTCTGTTTTTTGCTTTACGGTATAACAAGTAAGATAAGTAACGACTTCTAGTTTGGGCCCATGAGATTGTGTAAAACACATATTTATGTATATATATATATAGCACTTACACGCATGTAAGCGTGTTCTGTGTATACACTTCACACATGCACACACTTATATACACAGTGGAAGAGATAGCTGAAAGTCAATGCCCTATTGAAACAGCAACAAACTGATTCATGCGTGATAATTTCTTATTAACATTAGAATACATGAGCTCTCTCGATTCTTTCTTTTGTTTTAACAAGCTGTTAATAATTTGATTTTAAGATTATGCGGTAGCAAAGTCATTTCTTCAGATTGACGACCAGAAATTTATCATCAATTAAAAATTTTATACACACATTTTTAAATTACCAAGAAATGATTTTAATATTATCACTCAAATAATGATACGTCTCTGAACTACTATATGAATGTAATTTAAGTAAAGAGTACTTATCAGAACGTTCTATGTTCTTCACACCAACGTATGAATGGTATAATTTAATTTTTTTTTTTCACAAAAAAAAATAATATTTTGGTAAAGTATAAAAAATATTTATTTTGTTTTAATAATATCTCTTTTTAACTTGTCAAATGAATTTATTGGATAAATCCTTCAAAGTACTTTCAAATTACATCATCAACTTTTTTATTTCGTGAAAATACTAAATGAAAATAGATAATTATTTTTTCGTCATTTTTAATTGTTTGCAGGTAAACAAACCTTACAATCAATAGAAAAATTTTGGTATTTTATCATTCATTAATGTAATTAAGATCGCAAAATTTTAATACTCTTAAAATGTATTAAAAGGTAACTATAATAAATATAATAAATGCAATATTACATCAACATAAGATTAAATTATTTACCATTCAAGCTCGACGAACTGTACTACCCTTTCGAGTCATACACATGTGTGAAATAAGAAATAAATTTACCAATTTCCTTTGCAAAAAATGTTGTCAGTGTGTGAGTGTATGTAAGAGAGAGAAAGAGATAGCCAGAAAAAGGTATCACTCACAGCATCACGCAGGCATTGACTTTAAAAAAAGTCGCATCTTGCACGTATGGAAGTATTCGAAGCATCTGTCAGCTCGAATGATACATGTTAAGATTCATTACGCGATGATTTGTTGCGACGGAAATTATTTCAGCTCTGCGAAGTTTACCACAGATAAAAGTTTTGATAATCTCAAAATCGTTTATTTTTTATCTAAACAAATAACATCTTTATGATATTTAAAATCATTAATCAAAAATTAATTCGTTATATCTTTGTATTTTAAGTAAAAAAACAAGGTTGAAGACCCAAAGTTTAGATTTCTATAATACTTAGATTTCAATGTTAATGTGATCATGAGGCCCGACTAAGCATAAAACTCGTGTGTAAATCGCTCCGTACGATGTATAATAATAGAATTTTTGACATCAGCTCGAATACTTCTTTTATTCTATGGCTTATTTCCACGGCCACGCCAGCAAAAGCAGAGTTTCGTATGCGATGTACTCTTTTTGTAACTCAGGAAGCGCCTCATATCTCGAACTGCCGAGCGCTTGATAAATTAGTCTTTTATATATTTCGCTCGTATTCGCATATACACGTACTCTGCTTTAAACGTACTTATTGTAGAAGGATGTAGATTTTCCTTTAAAACTTGATCCCGAGGCTGGAATATTTTTACTCGAATTTTTCGATTTCCGACAAGTATCATCGAATTTTTTTCGATGGGTTCGTAAGATTAATAGTTGCAGTTTATAACTATCCGATTAAATCGATCCTTCATTTGTAAAACATATAATTAACTATTTTTAAATAAATAAATGCAATAATACGTCCCATTACTCACAACTCTGAAAGAATTATGTAAAAATAACGGATAAATTGCACGAGTACAGAACGAACGAGCTAGAACCCGGAAGATAAACGAAGAATTGAAAGGAAGAGCATTGCATTGGGTACAATGTACCAGTGAACCCGTAGCTCATCTATATACACATGCGCACTTGTGTCCCTACTCTAGGACGTTTGAGAGCTACGGCAAAGACCTCCCTACATATTGTGCCGAGTTTTAGAGGGGGCAATGCTGAAGATTTGCTTCCACCACCATATCAAATATACCCCTCGAACTTTTTTTTCGAGCATCGCACATCTTTCTCCATAGCAATAGCCACGTGTGCTGCGAGTGTATCATGTTCGTCTGTCGAGTGCTGAGCGCGATTAGTTTTGGCAAAATTTTGGCTAGCAACATTTTTTGATAATTTTTTCGTGGGAATGCGTCTTTGACAGTTTTGACTTTTAGCGATAAATCGTGGCCGCACGCACACGACGCAATATTTTATCGTTGCCTTAAACTCCATATTCATCATGTGATACCAATAGTTTTATCGAGTATGACTTTACGTCACACATCGTATGACATTTTTTCGGCTTATTCCATTATCTATGCCATTTCTAATCACAATCACATTTTTTCTATAAGAAGATGTTGTGCGAGTGGCTGAGTTTAGAATTTTTTTACCGATGCCAAGGCTCGAGCTGAAATGAAAACAATCCCTTGTACTCCCCTGCAAAAGACAATATTTTTGGAAACATACGAATTCGTGTGCTCTCGAAAATCTCTTTAGGTTTTTTTCCACACACTTCATTGTCTTTCTGGTCTATTGTCATGCGCGCCAACAAAAAAGATTTCGTTCGTAGTATTAGCTAGAATTCGGTGTGTATTATATATATAGATCGAAGGCGTTACAAGAATCGTGCGTTGCGCTGCGCACCCAGTGCTACAGCGACAATTGGCATCAGAGCGTGGGCAGAATGTGAAAAATAAAAAAACGAGGCGCAGGACGCTGAAAAAGTATATAATCGCCAAGACGATGCATCCATCTCCTTGGACAAAAGTGCGCATACGGCTAAGGCGGGGGAGTACACGGTGTCGATCGCGCGCAAAGCTGCTCCTGCACGGAAAATCCATGCACCGCCGGCACGAATACAGCCCAAAGGATAGTTCGAAGGGTAAATTTCCCGTGCAGGCTGCATGGTTAGAGTAGAGCAGAGTAGAGAGAGGTATATCGAGCGCAGGGGAGAGTTTGCAAAAACACGAGTTTGCGCGCATTATATAGATATATGTATGGTTGGAGAAATTTTGCGGAGGCATCTAAGGGTGGGGAGAAAGGTTGCGCGCGGCGATTCACCAACGCAACACAACGCAGCAGCAGCAGCAGCAGCTACGACGACGACGATCACGTCGACCACGACTACTACTACTACGCGACGACGACGACGACGACGACGACGTATAGGAGAGCAGAGCGCGCGTTCAGCGTTAGAGGTCATTGACCCGCGCAGCTTGCTCGCTGCCGGCTGCTGCTCTGACTACTATTGCTACTGCTGTTACTGCTCTCTCTCTCTCTCTCTCTCTTTCTCTCTATCTCTCTCTTTCTGTTCGTGTGTGTTTAGCTACTACTCTTTCGACTGTCAAGCATATACGTAGTCGTTCGCTGCTCTTTTGCTCTTCGTGACTGTGATGACGATTGTGCTTTCGTGACAAAACAAAAAGAAAAGCTGGCAAGAAAAGGAAAAAAGTGAGGTGAAAAGCGCGAACAAGTGCACGAATGTAATTCTACGATAATAAGTGACCAAAGAAAAAGAGAAGATGAGTGCGAGATTGGAAAGTGAGTGCTAATTGTTGTGCTTTATTTATATATAAGGCGCGTCGTTTCGTGCGAAGAAAGAGAGTGAATTGTAACGGTTGCACACGATAATTGTGAGCGGTGCAGTCTGTGTGTCAGTGTCACCGGCAGCTTAGCTGTAAACGACGCAAGCTTCGACAATATGCGCACGAGGTGCATTCGATAATGGTGAGTTTTTCGATCGTGTGATTTTAACCTTTTCCTTTTCGTCGGCTGCATCGAAAGCTCGACCACGATGTAGAAAGCAAAAAAAGTTGTCTCTCTGACGCCAAGACTCAACGGGTTATCTAGCTTCGACGTCGTTAGTGTTATTGCAAGAATTTTGGAGTTGCGCGTAACCGCGGTATTAGTCGAAACGACGCTTGCACGGCAATGGACCGGTGCGCAGGACCTTCATTCGCCCAAAGTCACGACCTTGCGCTTGCGGCTCGCTGCGTAGCCAACACAGAGCTCTCGAGCCGCGCGCTCGACTCCGTGTCCGGACTCTGAAACCGCGCGCACTTTTCAGCAGCCGAATCTAAAGAAAAGCTCTGCGAAGAAAGAGAAAAAGTCTAGTCGCGAATAGAGAATATAACACCGGATAGAGAAGAAAGAGCAAAAGAGAGAGAGTGACACGCTTTCGCGCACAAGCATACATGTACACAGGCACGCATGCAGCGGTGCACACACCCATGTAAAAGCTCTTTTTCTCTCTCTCTCTCTCTCTTTCTCTCGAGCCGAGCATAGCCGAGTCGAGTGTGCAAGTGCACGGATGCAAAAGTTGTGCGAGCGAGCGGCCAAGAGAGAGTATATAACAAACACTATAGAGCTGTGTTGGCGCGTCGCGGAGAAAGGGTTTCTCTCTCTCCTCGGCTCTACATATCGCTCTCCGTGATGGTCTAGGCCTCTCTACTATTGCTAGCCTAGGCTCGCCCGCGAATAGAGTTTGTTGTGCGTTCCAATATGCCGATCTCTGCACTCTGACGGGCCTGCCGCGGCTCTTTTCTCTCTCGCTCGGAATCGCTTGACTTTTCCCAGTGTCTCTTTTCTCTCCCTGTGCGCGGTGTGCAGTTCTGGCTTCGCTCTCGTCGACGAAAACCAAATTTTACTCTTGGTGATCGTTCCTCGGCCAGAGCAACTTTTTGGCCCGACAGTGGAGTTGGAACTGTTTTGCAAAGCGTCGTTCTGTGTGCGCGACGCGAAGGTCGAGTAGAGCCACGAGATTAGAAGATCGCCGAGCAGTGTCAGAGCAAAAACAAATTACACAAGTAACGTAGTGCAAAAGAGAGCGTTATAGAGCCGGGGGAAGTATAATGGAAGACGACTAGCGCCCAGTGCAAATTATTTTTTCCATCGTTAAATCCAATGAAGCAATTAAGCGAAGAAAATTGATTTTTAAAAGAGAGCGACAGTGCGAGTGAGTGCGACGAGTGTTGAGGTGAAATACGATAGACGCCGTGTGTGCACGTACACAGCTCTGGTGCAGCTGGTTGTTTTTTTTTCTCTTTCGCTCGCTTGCCTGCCTGGCTGCCGGCCTGCAACGAGCCGCCTGGATTGAAATCTCGCTCTCGAAAGCTAGTCGTTGATGCAGTTACATAGCTCGACTGCACTTCCGCGTGAAAGTGATTTATTAATATTATACAGCTATAAGCGCGGGACACCGGCATCGCCACCGCCGCCGCTTCGATTATAACGTAACCGATGAATTTGGCTGCAAAAAAGAATCACGAGCGTGTGCGCGCGCGAGTCGAGTTTCCGAACTCGATTCGATTGTCTGCGGTCCGAGTAAAAAGTGAATTTTTCTCCACGCCGCTATAGCTCGCCAGTGATAAATTAACATTAGCGCGCGCTGATTCATTTGACATTTTTTAACGATAGAACACTTCCTCGTAGAATACGCGATGAAGTGTATTTATATGTATATGTATGAAACGAACATTCGGGTCATTGTCCTCCTCCCTAGAGTGCATGAAAAGTCTTTTTCTCTTTCTTGCACTCTCTTTCTTGAACAAATCAAACGAACAGATAAGTTTCTTCATTCGTTTTGATGCACGGAGCTGGCGAATTTTTTCTTTTTACGTTCGCACGCGTTTACAGCTCGTCTTATCGTTGCAGAGCGTTAAAAACGTAAATAGCGGATCTGAGTGACTAAATATTCAACACAAGAAGGTCAAGTGCTCCTCGCACGATTTCCGACAGTCTAAGCTAATGCTCTATTTTTTTTTTCTTTCCGTGTAATACAGCTGATCGAAAGTGGAGAAGTTTACATTGTATTATGAACTTGCTTTAATACGCATATAGATTGAGCGACTTCGATTACTTTGTCGTGCAATAAATAATAATATTCACGCACGCATGGACGCGCTGATAAAAAATTATGTAAGTCACCCGCGCTTATACATCAGTCGTCGCCGGCATACATAATATCGTATAATTACATTTATCGTTTTTAATATCGATGCGTCGTTATTAAATGAGCTGTAAATACGTCGAATTACGTAAGCGATTTGAGCTTGCTTATGAAAAGTACGAGACATTATCAAAAAAATATAAATATGACCGCCAATTCGTTTCAATAATAATGAGAATTCGTAATAAAGCCTATCCGAACATGGTCGATTCATAGTGCAACGCCGAAAAACGAGTTGTTGAAGAGAAAGTTCTACGTCACCGCCGACGACGCGGAGATGCCGATTCATAATCGCTCGCACCTCGTCGCATTGTGCATTGTAGCCACGCGCGAAAAAGGAAAAAGAGCGAGAAAACCTCTCGGTAATGGTGGTGGTGGCGGCGGCGGCGGCGGCGGCATTGCACGCGGAAACTGCTGCACCCGGAAAGTGGTCTTGCCACCGGCGTCGTATTACCCGCGGCACTCCCACCCCCCCTCTTCAAGTGCGAGGTTGCACGACGTGAAAGCTCATGATACCGCATAGGAAGTACATCGCTTGCATAGAGCATACCTTTTCTTTTTTTTTATTTATGAATTTATATTTTCTTCTACTTACGTACACGTTGGCGCACGCGAGCCTACTTTTTTGAACATTAAAAGCGATGAATTGCGTAACAAATGGACGATATAATCGAGGCATATTGTTAGATCTGGATAAGCGTTGTAATTCAAGGTAGCACGAGCTCGCACGAGAACCTGTCGCGCTCGCACGCGTATCGTCTATAAGCATATACACGTATAAAGTCAGTTTCGCGTTTGCCGCGCTCCCAACCGAAGTGGAGAGTGCAGTAACGGTGCATCCGAATGCGAAGCCGAAGAAAGGGAAGGCAAGCGATGTTTTGTTGCGCAAACGAGCCTCGCATGCAGACGATCGTCTTCGGCGTTGATGCGTTCGAGCTGCTGTAAAAGTGAAACTCTTTACTCCGCGACCTTCTTGGCCGAGCGCGTTCCAATGCAGTCATGCATTTTTAGTAGATACTGTCTTTGATCGCACTGTCGCTCTCTTCTCCAATGAGATTTAGTAACGCATGCCGAGCTTTTATCCTCAGCTCTCATACAAGAATGTATAGTTAGTTAGATCTTAGCGATCACAAGTTAATACACTCTTAACGATGAACATTATTTGATGATTTTAATGAAATGCACTTCAAATAAAATAATTTCAGACAGAAGATTTGTAACGACTCAACAGGCTATAGTCGCTTGTTTTTGCTCGGCAGCTATCGATCGCAATTTTCCAGTCGTCATCGACATCCAACAAACGTAAAATGAAATGTGCAATAGAGCACGCAAACAAGTGCAAAATTATCAATAAAACTAATACAAAAAGTACGATTACATGAGTGCGGCATTGAAAAACAAAAGTGTTCTTTTTTTCCTTTTTATTTTTTCATTTACGAGTTTTCATCCTTAGAACGAGACTGTGACATGTGCGTGTAAATACACGCGCAGTGAGTTGTCGTTTCTCAAGTACACATACACGCACACACACACACATACACACGCGCATGCAGTGACCTGTGGAAACTCATAAATAGCCCTGCGTGAGAAAGTAATTGCCAAGACTGTGTTCACTGGTGTCTGTGTGTTTGTTTGGATGCACCGAAGCCTTCAGAGAAAGATTGAACTCAACCATCGAGAGACTATTTCTTCCTTTTCTCACATCGAAGAAGCGAAGTTCACATATTGATGGCAGATCAACGACATCACAAAAATGTAAGCTCCTTCAATACCTTACTTTTTAATGGGTTACATAGTTTCGAGAGTCAAAAAAATTTTCTCATTTAAAAAAATTGTATTTGATAAATCAAAAGTTTGATTAATTTGAAAGATACGCTCAGTAAAGTTGTTCATTTAAAGAAGTTGTAAAAAAATGTCAGCTTGAAATATTGAAAATTGTTGACTTTCCAACGGGTTTCCTCGCTTAGTTTTTTTTCGCGGTAGGCCAGGACATTTCGGTACAGGGTTATCCAAAATCTGAAAGTCGAAAATTTTCAATATTTCAAGCTGACATTTTTTTACAACTTCTTTAAATGAACAACTTTACTGAGCGTATGTTTTAAATTAATCAAACTTTTGATTTGTCAAATCCAATATTTTGATATAAAATTTTTTTTTCTGCGTATAATGTTGTACAAGCCCTTAAATTTATGCAATACAGTGTAATCAGCTTATTTTTTCAATGGTACCTTTTACACTCCTTAGTGCTAATAAAAATTTCGAAAAGTTGATCAAAAATTTATTCAAGGTTTCCCATAGACTCATATAACGGGTTGTGTATTACGAAACAAGTCGTGAGAGCCCAGAAAATGACGGATATACACAGTCCCCTCGTCATTTTTCATCAACGTGTTTGTCTTTTCATATTGATGCAGAGGCATTTGCAACATAGAATCCGGAAGAGTTGGCGAACGCAGCACATCGAGCTCATTTTCCTTCATTATATGTACACGAATTGTCCTTCATTAACGGTGACTTCGTTACGAGCTCACTGCAGTGTTGCATTAACTATTGAACGAAGAGCGACGCAATCGAGGTACTTTCTGTTTCGTAACCCTGTGAAACGTTCGGCTCATTTTTTTCGATCCAGAAAAAATTGCAATAAAGGCATTAATAAAATTAAACGGGCTTCAAAGTATTCGAGGAGTACTCGAGGAATGTGTGATTAAATAATCTAAACGATTTTTACATAACCGCATGTGTATACGGCATTACACATTGGGTTATTAATTTTTTCATA